AACTGATGCTTTCTGTAATTCCACTTTAACATAAGATACATACATTTTATATTTGCAACTTTTCAGCATGATCTAGAAACGATGTTTCATTGCACCTCAGTCACTTTTTAGCATATCTATACATTTATTTAGCATCCCTCCTCTGGGGCAGCCAGTGCTGTTGCTCCGTGATATAACTGAATTTTAAGCCTTCATGCTTCAGCTTATGTATATCAGCAGTGTATAATGGTGACAATGGCCATCCAGCCCGGTGCAGTGATGAAAGTGGTCTACTACTGGATTAGAGCTACTCTAACCAGTCCTTGAGGACCACTAACAATCCAGGATTTAAGGCTTTACTCAACAATTGTGTTTAAGCAGAGATATATGTAAATCCCAAACCATTAGTACTCCCTGCGGGCTACTCTGAAGGATGCATGTTTACATAATAACTGCCACCAATATATATTTCTAAGCTGTTAACCCTCATACTTCTAGTCTGTATTACTTATTGTTTCCATTTATTACAAAGACTGAATTAGAGGATAGATGATAGATGATAGATAGATAAATAGATAGATAGATAGATAGATAGATAGATAGATAGATAGATAGATAGATAGATAGATAGATAATACAATTTAATATATATATTTTTTTAATTTTTGTAATGTATTGTGTAAAGTGGAAGGACCAAACTGCATTGTGCATTATCCCATGTTTCTAACAAAAATATGTTTTGCAGGCTTAAGATTTGCTGCTGTCATTTTTTATATATCTTTGTCTTATTTGATATTATAGAGTTAGGTATCCATATGTCATGTTAGAGGGATTCATTCAAATAAAAGAGTACCTGGATATGCAGCAGCTTACTCATTACATAAAATAATATTTTATCTGTCAGCATCCAGGTCAATAATATAATGCAATTTAAAAATGTGCCCTCTCTGCAGTCATGTTGAATAATTATCTCTAGTGGCTGGACACACAGCGGAGTAGTTATATCTGGCATCTTCTATGTGTGTTTTTTGGTGAAGTATCAGAAACTTAAAGTGGTATTAAATCTAAAAGAAAACATTTATTATATTGCACCTTACCAGTTTGTATATGTGATGGCTGCATTAATTTTTTTTTTTAGACTTTCTTGCCTTTAATTTCAGATGGTGATCTAGCCAGTAATTCTGTTATTTTTCAAGCTGTTCTGCAGATGTAGCAGTTATAAGGTTGAGACAAACCATTTACCACTAACAGGGGTCTGTATGATGATAGGCTTTTATTCATAAAAAACCTTTACAACATATTCCAAAAGAAAAAATAAAACTGCTGCTTTAAACTGATTAAACACTGTGAGCTGTATTTTGGCCTCAATTTGTATGTGTATCAAAATCTGCTAGGCCATCTAACACTCCCCTCAACCTAGATAAACAATACTGCTGTCCAAAGGTGCCCCTGTGCTCCTTCATCCAAAGTGGGGGCATTCTAATATAAGAGGTGTGTTACTGGCCAGATCACCAAGTGAAAACAGAGGGGAAAAAAGCATAAAAAGGGAAATCAAATGCAGCCACCACATCTAGGGGCTGGTAATCTGCTTTATATTCAATTTTTGGTTTAATACCACTTTAAATAACAGGGTTCAGAAAACACTGACTATACACCAATGGCAGCATGCTTTTAAAGGATAAAAACAAAAGTACTCTTACAACACTCTACCCTGACACTCCAGGGACATATACTCAGAGTACACCACCCTGTTACTCTAGGGGAGTACTCACACAGCACCTTACCCTGACAGTCTAGGAGAGTACTTATACAGCATTCTATCATGAAAAAGCAGGGAATATGCTTAGAGCACTCTACCCTGTTACTCCAGGAGAGTACACATACAGCATTCTAGCCTGACACTCCAGCACTCTGCCCTGACCCTTCAGTGGCCTATACACAGAGCACTTTACTCTGTTACTCCAGTTTAGAACGCATACAGCACTCTACCCTGACAATCCTGGGGAGTACACAGAGACCTTTATCCTATTACTCCAGTTGAGTACTCACACAGCACTCTGCCCTGACATTCCAGTAAAGTACTCTCACAGAATTCTGCTTTGACACTCCAGAGAGGTACTCTCACAGCACTCTATCCTAACACTCCAGAGAAATACTCTGACAACACTTTACCCTGACACTCCCAGTGATAACCACACTCTACCCTAACACTCCAGGGACATACACCCCAAATACTCATCCCTTGCACTCTAGGTACAAATACCTAGAGCACGCTATCCTGGAACGTCAGGAAATACTCACACAACACTCTATTCTGAATTCAGGGGAGAACTTTGTCAGCACTCATGACATTTCAAGGGAGTAAACCTCAAACACTCTACCCAGACACTCCAGGGGCACAGGGGCGGACTGACAACTCATGGGGCCCCCGGGCAATAGGGGATCATGGGGCCCCTGTGTCCTTGCCCAAACTCAAAAAAGCTTATGAAAAAGGTACCAGGGGCATCTCATGGGGCCCCCTACTGACCCCGGGCCCTCGGGCAGTGCCTGAGTTTCCAAATGGTCAGTCCGCCCCTGCAGCGGCATATACCCAGAACCCTTTACTCTGAAAATTGAGGGGTACATATCCAGAGTACTCTAACCTGCCACTCCAGGATGGTACTCACACAGTATCCTACCCTAACACTTCAATTAAATACTCTCACAGCAGTCTTCCTTGACACTCCACGGGAGTACTCTCACAACATTGTACCCTGACACTCCAATGGAGTACATCTCCAGTATTCTAAACCCTCATGCTCCAGCAGCATTCACCCAATGCACTCTACCTTGACATTCCAGGGGTTTTTTCTCAGAGTAGTCAAACATGACACTCCACAGGAGTACTCTCACAGCACTTTAACCTGAAACCCCAGGGACTTATACTTGGAGCAAACCCCCAATGTTCTACTCATGTTCTCTCTGGAAGCACACCAATGCTGTTGTATCTTTGTACTCTAGGAGAAAACGTCTGACAGATTCTACTTTAATATTCTAGAGGGTTACAACTTACATGACAGGACTGCTTTTTGTATTATTGGAAAAGGTATGGGAAGTAAATTTACTGGTCACTAGAGCATACTTCCAAAACTTAGTGAGCGTGAAATGAGTGTGTATGCTCTGCTTCCAAGGAGGACTATATACGCAAATATGTCCTTATACTCTCAGACTTCCCTTTTCTGGTGCTATTAAACACGCTAAAAGGTCCACGGGCTGCAGCCACTGAGCCTTTTACTCCCAATCAGATACAAGGGCTTATACTTGAGGAATAGGTGAAGGCCTCACAGACCCAATAGTTATGGAGACAATGGAATTCCTGTCACCTCTTGACCATAGTACAGATCCCATCAAGCCCCAGTGACATCCCAGTAGCAGTTTAGACAAAGATACTTGTTTCTTGAATGTTTGAAGGTACAAGTCCCTGCATGCTGCATAATTTTTGTTCCTTGGGTCTTTAAACCCCAGGATGTCACACTGGTCTCTATCTTTCATCTGTAGAACTACTAGAACCGGCATGCCTCACTGACATCTCTCATATTTGCAGAGCTACCCCTAGCACATGTCAATGGTGTATATCTTCTCTTTACGAAAACTACAAGCCCAAGCATGCCCCATTGATGTTTTTGCATGTTATATTTCTAATTTATGCATTGTTATAGACTTTTTTAACAGGTTTTTGTTTTCTGTTCCTATTTATAAAACAGCATGCTAAGTGAATGGGCAATGTGGTGGTTATTTCCAAAAGTAAATACAATTTTAGTCTTTACTTGATTATTAGTGGATATAATAAATAAACAAATGCTGGCTGTATCTGTTAATGGAAAACTTTACATTGATTTCTTATGGCAAAATGTGTTGTTATTTTTTTTTACATAACTCTGTTTTTACTAATACCCATACTTTTGCTGAAAAGTTCTGAAAATACTACACAAATCTAAGATCTTGAATGAGGATCTCCCATTACATACTATGTTTTCTTACCTAATTCTAATGTGCAATGGGTGGCATCTGAGGGGTTAAAACACTAAAAAATACTAAAACAATATTTATATTTCCTTTAAATGGCCACCATTTAGAACGTATATTTTACTCCTAATTCTGCTTGACTTACATTACTGATTAATTGAATTAGCCCCAAATTTACACAATTCTCATTCTCTTATTCCTGCTTAAAGGAATGTGGTTTTCTCTTCATTTATGCACATTGTTATATGGTATTCCCACTAAAGCTTCATGTTTTGCTTTTTATTTACCCTATAAACTGTATCCAATATATTTTTTTCCAGCTCAGAGAGTCACTTTTCTTTTTCTGATACTAATACCTTATAATCAGATTAATTAATAATGTATCATGATTCAAAAGGACCTGTGTATGATAAAATTCTAATATATTTAGGATATTTGATCATTTAGTCAGAATATAGCTGTTAGTAACAGTTGCTTCCTTTGATGTGAATATTACCAATATTTTATATTGCATTAACAGTTCAATGTTTATAGGTTTTTAATCTGAATTTATGTTATTACATCTGGCCATTATGAAACATATAGAGATAAAACTTCCTCTCATTAAATAAGTATAACATTCAACCATTACAACTTTAATAGGACGCAGAATCTATTTTATTTATGAAAAAAAAAACGATTTTTATTTCTTATACATAAATAAATAAATATATATAATATACAGAAACAATACAGTGAGACATATTTTACAAAAGACAGTTAGGTTTCAGAGCTATTTCCAGAGATTGGGGACCAGTTTGGAGCAGTGTATGGATGGATAGGAATAATTTGCAGGTAAAGGGTCACTTTCTAGACACATACAAGATATCTGCAACCTTAGAAGTCAGGAATCTGGACGAATAGAGAATTACTGCCCGATACCTACATACAAGGACAATCAGGCTGGGTAAGTTCATAGTAGGAGTTCTGTACAGTATATACAAAGTTTCTGGAAAGTCTATGCTTGGATGGTGGGATCATGGGCTCGGGGAAAGGTCTCTGTCCTCCTTTTCTGAAGAAGAAGGAGACATGAGAGAGTCATCATCCTCCTCATCCTCCAGGCACTTTGCGGATGGAAAAGAAGAACATTTGCAGTTGTGAGGACTGCCCCGGTGGGAGCTGCCCTTCCCTTCCTTCTTGTGCTTGACCCTTCTGTTCTGGAACCAGATCTTCACCTGTTTCTCGGACAGGTTGAGGTAGGTGGCTATCTCTATACGCCTGAGCCGGGACAGGTACATATTAGAGGCGAATTCTCTCTCCAGTTCTAGGAGCTGGGTGCTGGTGAAAGCTGTACGCATCCTCTTACTGCTGGGGCAACTGGCTGGAAGATGTGTCTGCAAGGGAGAAGAACAACCATTAGTCACAGGAAGAAAAGCTTGGACCAAGCAGGTGACACTTCATCCGGAGGTCAGCACCCTCAATGCTAGCGCTACAGTTATACATGGGCTGTTTAGACATACAGTTGGTTCAAGTTCAAATATGGACTCAATGTCAAGCTGATAGCGCTAAAACTTCATTGCTAAAGTCATATATGGACTGTTTGGACTTACAGCTGGTTATGGATAAGACTGTCAAGCCGCTAGCACTAATACTTCATTGATTAATTCATACATTGGCTTTGTGGACGGCCAACTAGTTATGGCTAAGAATATGGACTCAATGTCAAGCCGATAGCACTAGAACTTCATTGCTAAAGTCATACAGGGGCTGTTTGGACTTACCGCTGGTTATGGCTAAGAATATGTACTCAATGTCAAGCTGCTAGCACTAACCGTTCATTGATTAAGTCATACATGTGCTTTCTGGACGGCCCACTAGTTATGGCTAAGTATATGTACTCAATGTCAAGCTGCTAGCACTAACCCTTCATTGATTAAGTCATACATGTGCTTTCTGGACGGCCCACTAGTTATGGCTAAGAATATGCACTCAATGTCAAGCTGCTAGTGCTAAAGCTTCTTGGCTAAAGTCATGAATGGCTGTATACTGAATATCAAGCTGCTAGTGATAATATAGCTTCATTTGCTAAAGCTAAGCATGTATACGCAATATCAACTGCTAGATCTAAAGTTTAATTCATAAAGTAATGAAAGGGCTGTTTAGTCATACAGCTGATTATTGTTAAGCATGTATACTCAATGGCAAGCTGCTAGCGCTAAAACTTCATTGTTGAAGTCATTGGACTGCTTAGACACAAATCTACTTTTGGCTAAGTATATATACTTAAAGTCTTGCATTGGCTGTTTACACTCACAACTGATTGTACTAAGCATGTGTACTCAATGTCAAGGTGTTAGCGCTAAAGTCTCATTGCTAAAGGAATGCATGGGCTGTTTAGGCATACAACTGACTATTACTGACTATTATGTGTACTCAATGTCAAGGTGTTAGCGCTAAAGTCTCATTGCTACAGTCATGCATGGGCTGTGTAGGCACACAACTGACTATTGCTAAGCATGTGTACTCAATGTCAAAGTGTTAGCGTTAAAGTTTCCTTGCATGGACTGCTTATGTCGGAGCTACCTAATGTTCATTCAATTCTTCATCAGATTTATTTTTTTGCAAAATGAATACCATAATATAACGTATTTGAAAAAAAAAAACACATTTAATAAAACATACAAGTAAAAGTGCAAACAAATAAAAGTAATGAACTTTTCAACAAGCATCTGCCATAAACACTGTAGCGAGTCCAGCAACAAATGACTTACCGACAGAGATGCAGTGGAACTGTCTGGGATCCGGCATGGGGTATGCCGCCTGGTATATGGCTGGACCATGGCTCAGGTTGAGGGGTGAGGATCCTGAATGTTGCCTGCCAATGCCTGATGGACAATACTGGGAGCTGAAGGAGGAGAACGATGCCTTGAGCAGTGGGATGCCCGGTGGAGGGGCATGGAGCTGGGAGGTTGCCACACACATTGGGCACACACACAGCAGTCCTGATTTTCTGGAGTGGCAGGAGCCAGCAGACAGTCCGTGCAGGGGGTGAGAGGGGTGCACTGCATAGGGGAACAGAGGAGGACTGTTTTCATCCTTCTTCTCATTGGATTCCCTTAGGATGATGAGGGAGTCTACTAGGAAGGAGCGAGGCATGGGTGCAGGATGCGCAGGCTCTGGAGGAGCAGAGCTGAGTCCTGGGGTGAGAACAGTTCTGAAGGATCAGCGCTGGGTGTACTGCAGAAGAGACACTGGGTGCTGCACCCTATGCTCGGTGTACTGCAGAAGAGATGCTGGGTGCTGCACCCTATGCTCGGTGTACTGCAGAAGAGATGCTGGGTGCTGCACCCTATGCTCGGTGTACTGCAGAAGAGATGCTGGGTGCTGCGCCCTAGGCTGGATGTGCTGGAGGAGCAATGCTTCTTCTTTTCAGAGTTCTATGAGCATTGGTTCTAGTTTGCCTGTAGCTAGGACCGGTGCCTTGGCTTGTGTCGAGCCCTGGTGTGCTTCTGGTCCCCAGACTGAGCTGTCCTCGAGTTGTCTGTACTAGGAGTGTCTCCAGAGAGCTGAGCACAGGAGGGTGCTGGCCAGCAGTGTGGTGCTGAAACTCCACTCCCTCAACTTATATAGCCTTCTCCTCGCCATGTGATGCGGCCAGCACTCTCAATAGCCTCTTTTTGTGGCTTTTCTCTTGGCATTCCCTCTGCACGCTTCTTCATTATTTCACTTGTTAACTAAATGAACTGCATAATGTACTCTATTCTTGTCAGCCCCACCCAGGCCGTCTCCCACCCTCATCTCCCCTCTCTGGGATTTATTTTCCTATTCCCTGGCTATTTAATATTCTTTTATCTCTCTGCATTTTGCGTTGATGAATATAAGAAGGTTTCCCCCCAATTGCTGATATATGAAAATAGTGTTTGGGTATTATTGGAAGCGTGGTAAGGGTCAGCCCTATTCTCTATTCTTCAGCCACCTGTAGAATCCTGCTTCACTGCACTTAGCATGTCCTTGGTGAGAGCAGCCCTGGGTCTCTTCAGCCCGGATTACAGTATATACTATATACATTTATTCCAGCCTGGGAACGTAGGTTATTCTTCTTTAGAGACCCAAGTCACTAAATTACATTATTTGGAAACTTTGTATCATTTTGTTCAATGTTCTGTATACCTAAATCTTCACCTGTCCTTTCTTGTTTTCTTTTTTTTTTAATTGTCACTTGCATGAGAAATAAGAAACTAGATAGGTCCTAAATTTTCTGTATATGAAATCTCCATCTTTCTTTATATCCTTTTTGCTCTTAAATTTTCTGTATATGAAATCTCTTTCTTCATATACTTTTTGTTCTTAAATTTTCTGTATATAAATCTTTTTGTTCTTTTTGTTTTTAAATTTTCTGTATATGAAATCTCCATCTTTCTTTATATCCTTTTTGTTTTACAATTTCTGTATATGAAATCTCCAGCTTTCTTTATATACTTTTTGTTCTTAAATTTTTTGTATATAAAATCTCCATCTTTCTATCTATCCCTTTTGTTCTTAAATTTTCTGTATCAAATCTCCACTTTTTTTTATATCCTTTTAATTTTTTTATCTTTATCACCACTTAACTGAAGATATGAAACTAGATAGATAGACAATTATAAAAAGGCTCCAACATGTATACACAAGCAGATACTATTTCACATGCATATAAAATGCATATGTAAAATTGAGGTATACATACAACACAGAGATTAGTATTAATTGCTAACATTACTGTTGGATCCTGTACACAAGCATTCACATTAGAATGGGTGAACAAAGTCCTCTTTAGTGGTCAGCTTTTGGGATGTAGTTTACTAGGTTGATTATTTAAATTAAAAAAATGTACACTATTGGGTTTTGAAAGATTAAAATAAATATAGTGGAAACAATGGCAGATTTTCACAAAATTTTAAGATTTTGTAAATTCTAAACAAATTAATAGTTATAAAAATATGAACTGTATGTGCAGTCTGACTTATGCATGTGCAGGAGCTGTAATGTGGGATAAAATGTTCAAATTGAATGGGTACAACTTCCCCTGAGCATATATAAACACCAAAATACAAACTGGTAGAGCGGGACTTTAATATAAATAAAGTGCACCTGTTTACTGTTTTTATTGTTTTACAAAAAAAGTTACATTATAAATAAAATATATAATTGTCTTATGGAAAGTAGTACACCAGCTACAGCAAAGCTCTCTAAAATATATGTTCACAAATATAATTACAGTATAATTAGGCAATGCAATCATTATTATAAATATAGCTTTCCAAGTATGATGGTAACTCAAACTTTTTAAATAATGAAATATCAATATTTATTTAACTCATTGCAGTAACATGTTTACATATACATTACAATAATTTTCAAACAAAAAAAGCAATAATAAAATTACTTTCAAACATAATAAAATACAAAAATGAAAATATTTAAATGTAGTTTTAAAGTTGGTCATTACTGTCTACTTGAGCAATATTTAAATTTAAGTTGAGATAATAATGCTGAAATCAAAATGTCTCAAACAGAAGCCAATGTATTCACAGGTATTAGCTGGCTCTGTATAAAATTGTTCATAAGATTGAATCTGTCCATACTCCTTACAATGTTTTTAAGGTCAATTTTAGACATTGTATAGTTAGATAAGAAAATCTTTGTACCTAAAATAAGCAAGTTGTAATGTATGACCAGTGTAAATTGCCTATTTGCAAGTTTTTGTGAGGTGAGGGAATAAATGCTTAGAAATAGGATATTAAAGTCATGAATATATGTGGCTGGCTACGCTGAGCTTGACAGTGAACCTTCATTATGTTTGGCTTTTAGAAAATCAGAATGAAACATCCCTAACTGTCCCATAAAATCTAAGACCCAGTGATCTTAGTAAATTAGGCCCACTTTCAATGTATGTTTAGTTTAGCATTTGTTGTTTTCATTTAGGCATCTGGTTTGGTATTATAATTGTTGTTTTTGTTGTTAATATGAGTTTTTCTTTAATATTCCACAAAGGTCCTTCATTTCGCTCAACTATATACTATAATTTGCATGTTCAGCTCCATTTTGGCAATGAAAAGTACCGCTTTTGTTTGAACGCACATTTTGTTGGCACATTGTGTGCGAAGAGAAGAGTCTGCACACGATACGTTTCACACAAAACAAGCAGAAAATAAGACCTATTCCACAGGGACCCACATGTAATATATTCATTTAGAGAGTATTAGTATATATAAATCTGTTTAACAGGTAATACATATTAATAATGATATGGGCTATTAAGGCACAAAAAACCCTTTGCTTTGCATAATTGATGGACTGATGCTGAGAAGATGGATAA